AAAAAAAAAAAAAAAAAAAATCAAAGAATACACTAATTTCATAAAAAAACTCAAAGAATTTCAAAATCATACTCAGATAAAACATTGGAAAATAAATTGAGATAATCATCTTTATATTTCTGTAAGTTCAAATCATCATCTCAAGCTTAAAAAGACTGAGACCAAAACTTGGAAACAGAAAAACGCCAGATTAAAACAATACATCTGACCAGATAGATTATATTGTTCAAGGTCCTGAATATAAAAACATTTTAAGAAAAATACTTGTGAAAAGTATAGATTGTGATTTACTTGACTCCAAAGATGCATTGTAGGGGGCCGGGGAGATGGCTCAGTGGAATAAGTGCTTCCCTGGCAAGCGCAAGGGCCTGAGTTCAATCCCCGGTTCCACAAAAAAAAAAAAAAAAGATACATTGTATTAAACCTAATTTATTATACCTTACTTAAATGCAAAAGACTATCATAAATATTAATTAGTAACAGCAATGTAAGAGCTATGGATAAAATTTTTAACAAAAACGGTGTTAAATCTCACTGCTCATTGGGGCAAGGTGTTCACATGCATTATCAAACGGAAGTTTTCAAACAACATTATAATAGCCAAGCATAGTGGTACACATCTGTATGCCCACATCCAACAAGCTGAGGCAGGAGGATCATTGTTTTCAGTTCAGAGTTCAAGGCCAGCCTGAACTGCACAGTAAAACCCTGTCTCAAAAACACAAAAATTAAAAAACAAAAATTATAATAAAGCAATGTAAGTACAGGTGATTTAAGTACCATTAACTTGGTCATAGTTGGCCTTGGTCCTCCGATAAATAAAGAATCATTCTGTTCCTCTCCAGTTGTGGCTTCACTTAATTGTGGATAGCGTTCCTTTGAAGTGGTCAACAGCTCTGGTAACTGGAGAAACTGGATCCCACATTTGGAAGCTGCTGTCTTTACTCTTGGCACTTCCTGAATCCTCTGGTACCAAGAGGCTAGCAGTGGAAACTCTGTCAACCTATCAGAGAATTTCTTGCAGATAATGACCTAGGTAGGAAAAATAAAATATATTAGTTTGTTAAAAACAGCTGTATTGTAGTAGCTATATAGTATAAAACAGACACAATGTAAGGATAGTGAAGTTACACAATTGTGCAACTACCACAACACAGTTCTAGGGCACCACCTCACCCCAACAGTTCCCTTGTGACCATCTGCAGTCAATCTCTGTTTACCTGGTCAGCTGCAAGCAACCACTAATCTGTTTTCTATATTTAAAATTCTACCTTTTCTAGAATTTTTATAAATGGAATGATCAAAATAAACATGTCTAGCTTACTTAGTACTGTGTTTTTGAGATTTATTACCAGTAGTTTCCTTTCACTACATGTGACAGTTACGGTGTAGATATATTGTATTTTGCTTATCCGTTTAACACTTGAGGGACATTTGTATGATTCTAGTTGCTGGCTACAACAAATAATGCTACTACACATATTTATGTACTCATGTTTATATGGAAATGTTTCTCATTTTCAGGAGTACATACTGTGGAGTGAAGTTGTTAAGTTGTATGGTAAATATATGTCTAACTTCCAAAGAAACGGCCCAACCTGGCTATACCATGCTATATTATCAATACAAACCAGGACTCCAATTTCTCCATACCTTGTCAACACTGTTATTGTTACTTTTATTTTAGCTATTCTTACGGGTGGGTATGCAGTAGTAATGCATTGCGATTTTCACTTGCACTTCCCAATGACTAATGATACTGAAAATTTTTGGATGTGTTTATTTGACTCTTGTATATCTTCTGTGGTGAGGGCTTAGAAAGTTAGTTATCACTAACTTTGTAATATAAAAATAAGATCAATAACAAACATAGAAGCAACCCAACTAAAAGTAGACAAAAATATCTGAATAAACACACAGAAAGATATACAAATGGCAACATAATATATGAAAAACATGCTACTTATCAAGTGTCACTAGAGAATTAAAAAAGAGTCCACTAACATGCTTAATAGAAAAATGAAAATCCAAAACACTAACAATGCCAAAGGATAGTGAGAATGTGGAATAGAAATTTTGCTTCTATGCTAGTGGAAATGCCAAAGATCATGGCCATTTTGAAAGACAATTTGGCAGTTCCTCACTAATCTTAACATGTTCTTACTTTGCAATACAACGTATATGTTCTGGAGAATTGAAAACTTATATCCACAGTTTATAACACCTTTAATCATAATTACTCAAACTAGGAAGGTACCAAGATGCTATTTATTAAGTGAGCTATGGTACATCTGCACAATGGTAAAAATCAACATTCAATAGGGAAAGAAGAAAGACTGTAACAGGTAATTCCAATACAAATTAATGTAATGAATTCAACCCAGGGCCCAGGCCTGGTGTGTGAGTGGAACCTCCTCCATCAGACAGGCCTGGTGTGAAACCCAACAGCAGAACTCCCTGCAGAGAGGCTAGAGGCAAGACCCACCCAGCTGATCTAGGAGCAGAACATTTTGCCAGAGTGGCACAGAGGGTTCATCTCCAAGGGCTGCAGCAGGAAGAAGTGGAGCACAGCAGCCAGACCAAAGCCATACCCACATGGATGAATTTGCACTTGGTAGATCCAGACCTGGGGCTAAGGTAATAATTCTACCAAAGCTCTACAATAAAGGTCAGAAGACAGTGCTATACAAAATGTCAAAGAGAAGAAGCAAAATGCATTCTGAGGCCCCGAGCACACCCAGAACAAATGCAGGAGACAACATCATAGTAGAAATTGGAAATCTCTGAAACTGCATGAAGCAGATTCAAAGTACTATACAAGAAATTAAAATTTCAATCACAAGCTGGCAAAACTGAGTTAAAGTGAGAATAGACTTTCAGACCTTGGAAGACACCATTGCAGCTAGTGAAACGGTAAGAAAAGATCTCTTAAAAACAACTAGGATGCAGGAAAAATAATTCAACATGTACAGGATCATGCAAAGATGAATAATGTAAGACTAATAGGCATCAATGAGAAAAAAGGAGTTAATACAGATGATGTAAAAAGAATATGGACAGAATAGCAGAAAACTTCCCAAATATGGGGAAACTATCTGACATTCAGCTAACCGAAGCATATAGAACTCCAAATAATATCAACCCAATGAAAACCACACCCAGACATATAATAATCAAGATCTCAGAAATTTAGCACAGGAACAGTATACTAAAAGCTGCTAGAGAAAAGAAACAGATCACATTTAAAGGAAAACCCATCAGAATAATGGCAGATTTCTCTTCATAAACCATCAAGTCAAGAAGAGCATGGAGCAAAGTACTATAAGTCTTGCAAGAAAACAAATTCCAACCCAGACTGATATACCCTGCAAAACTCTCTTTCAAGTATAATGGAGAAGTGAAATACTTCCATGACAAAGAACAGCTAAAGAATTTCATGATGACAAAGCCAACCCCACACAGAAAACTAAATGATACTCTAGCAAGGGACCAAAATGACCACAACTCCATGTGAATGTAAAGAACCCACCCAATAGGGCAAACAATTAAACACAGGAGGAAAAGAGGTATACAACAGCAGTCATTCAATTATTCTTTTATATACAATAGCAAAATATTTCCATCAGCATACTCTACAAAGGGACTTCTCCTACACCCTATGGGTCATGATTCTGTCTGGGTCTACAGGGTAGATATCAATGAAATAGCAGTAGCTCAATCCCACAAGGGACACCTGGCCACCAGTAAGCATCATGGACACTGTCCATGTCCAAGACATACTAGAACTTTGTGCGATATCCTATGCCCAAATTGTTAGAAGTGTTGGTCATATATTTGCCATTCCAGTATTTATGTTGCTTCATTCTTAGTACTTTTTTATTATCATGAAAACTTTTTCTTAGTTGAAGTGTTTTGAAATATTTAATTTTGAATTAACATTTAATTAATTTTCTGAATATTGTTTAATCTTAATTTTTGTTTTAAGATTTATACTGTATCTTTGACTTACAATCTACTTATAAGAGGGGCCAGGGAGATGGCTTAGTGGAATAAATGCTTCCCTGGCAAGCGCAAGGGCCTGAGTTCAATCCCTCGTTCTGCAAGCAAAAAAAAAAAAAAAAAAGGGCCAGGGATGAGGCTCAGTGGCACAGTGCCTGCCTAGCAAGTGCAAGCCCCAGAGTTCGATTCCTGGTACCAAAAAAGAAAATAGTAAAAATAAGACCAAAAAAAAAAAAAGTCCCTTTGGAAAAAAAAAAAAAAAAAGGAAACCAATCTAATTATAAGACATGGTATGATATTTTCTCCTAGTATTAGAAACTTTAAAAAGTACATTTTCATTTCCATTGACTTTACATTACTTCTTCCTTATCTTTTACACACACACACATGAAAAAATACGTATATAAGCTGATATAAAGTTGATATTGTTTTGTAGAAATCTTCAATCACCTTTTAAATGGGTTCATCTAATATATTTTACATAGTCATGCATACCTATCATTTTGAGAGCTCTTTATTCTTTTTCTAGGACCATACAGCAACTTCTCTTGCCTTCTGGATTATGCTCTTTGTTATTTTCTATATGCTACCTCTGGAGGCATTAGAATATTTTGAGTTTGTGTAACTGGAAAATATTTTACTTTTAGTTTTGAAAGGTATGTTTGCCAAGTATAAAATTCAATGAAGACAGATCTTTTCTTTCAGTCCTTTGAATTAATCTAGTTTCTTACACACTTGCTCTTTTTTTTTCTAAAGTGGAATAAGATGCTATTTAATTTTGTTCTTCCATAGCTAATTTTTTAATGTATATGATTTAATGATTTTTTTCTTTACAATTAGTTTAGGACAATTTCATTTTTGTGTATCTTGGTATGATTTTATTCAAATTTCTTGTGTACGTGCTGTCTCTCGGGTAGATGATTGTTCAAAAAGAAGGGGCTGGTGAATGAAGGCAGGAGACAGGAAAAGGAATGTTATGGGACTGTCCTGCTACAAGGTTGTATATGGTTAGATTTCTGGACTTACGTGCAAACAGAAGAATTATACAATTCTTTATCTTATTTTTAAAATATATTTTAATTTTTCAAATGTTTTTTCCATCATATTCTGTGGGGACTTAAAAGTTCAACATATCAATACTTGATGAAAAATACCTGTTCCATGTTATTCCTAAGATGTTTGATATTCAGACAGATAGTAAAGTCAAGCTTGACAGCCTAGGTTTCTATGATAATAACAATAAGCTTCTCTTCTGGAGGGTTAACAACCTACGTTTGCAGACCAAAATTAGAGAAAAAGGAGGGCTGCAAGGAAAGCCAACATTTTGGCCCTAGCCTTCTAAGGTCAATTAAGACTCAGGACATATGAAAACTTGTACTGTAACGTCATGTAACTCGGTAGTGTCCCAAATTTTCTGATCAAGGAGATTATGGGCCAAAGAGGAAAGTGATCGATGATGCAGAATGTGCCTAAGGAGAGTCACATGGGGAGAAGACACTCTCTCAGGCTTTCACAGAGAGCACACTGGCCAACCACTGGCCGTGACTCATCCACATGGCTGACACTGACAAAGGATCTACAATCTGAGGTACAGGATGTCAGGATAAATAAGGGGACTTGACTGACCTTATCAGACCCAAAAGCTACAACTCTTGTTACATAGGTCTTGCTTTATCTTGGTCTTAACCATCCAGCAGAAAAGTATAAAAACGAAGTATGACAAGTAAAGCTATGTTGTTATGTTGAACTGTAGGGGTCTCAGGTCAACAATTTCTGACATTGCCAGTCAAGTGGAAGACCCAGTACTATTATGGAGTATTGGACTCTTTTAGAATATTTTGCTGAGTTAACACACCTCTAATATTCAAATAAAGAACTAAACAAAAAAGGGGGAACACAAATGTCCATTTTGTATCTGTATATTCAAAATGGTTAGGATAGATATATCATTACATTCTCTTAATGAATAGAGGGATTTGTTGTAATAGTGCTTGTAAATAGGATATCATGTCTGCATCTTGTACAGCAAATAA